AATCTCTCTCACATTGACAGAACTGTAGGGTTTACAAGCTTCTTCACACATACATAATAAGACTTGCTTTCACAGCGCTCTCTGGCGCTCTGCGATACCTAACAATCACTATCAGAGACAAGAGACCCTCCACTGGCCTCTTGGCGACGGGTGGAAGCTTTTACTTTCGGGGATTCAACAATTCCTTATGGACAATTATGAGGGAGCAACAGTCATCATCCTAATTTCGGCTGACTTCATGAGCCAAACAAGTTTCCCAAACTTCGGCCATTTTCGGCTTGTTTGCAGAACGAAACTGCCAACACGTTGTTGAACATCAACCATGTAGGTAAGTCAACAGTAGAATGCTGAAGTCCCGAAAGTAAAAGCTTCCACCACGGCCAAGATACTAATGGAGAATCTCTTGTCTCTGACCGCAATGCCCTGTCCTTCCTCAGGCCTTTAAGGTGTTGGCACTCTCTCATTTCATTTGAGACCTCCGTCGCTATATCCCATAGAGTAAATGTAGATGGGAGGGCTGGCGACATGCTCTGCTCGACGAGTTCCGAGCCCGGTGTGCGCCGAGCTTCGGTCACTTTTTCAATACATGTTCGATCCAAAATGGCGGTGTGGAATACATGGTAATTCCTATCTTCTTTGTTTACATCGGATGGCCGGGTACCCGTTATCGAAAACAATCGATTATGTATCGAAAAAGTGACCCGGCGTCACACAGGAGTCTCGGAAGTCAGGAACTGGAAAATGCCTTAAAGTGGCGCCAGCTCTCTCACTTACATTACGACTCTACATATGTACTCTATGAGCCCATTTATGCACGCGATTCGTGTCGCCGTGTCGCCGGCGGCAGTTGTCGCCGCGACGTTTTTTTGAATCGCGCGATCCATATTTTTGTCGCCGCGGCACCTTTTTTCTGCCGCCGCGACACCGTTTTTCTGGAGCGCAAAAGGTCCAACGTGCCACGTGTCCACGTGCTCGAGAAGTTCAATTTCAAGCGGCGATCGCCGAAACTTGTCGCGCGCATAAATGCGCTCATATGACTCCGTGTAGTTACAAACCGCGGGCGGCAGAAAATCGCCGGGCGGTTTCTAACTACGAGCGACATGATCTAGAAATCGCCGCGGCAGTTTTGCCGTCGCAATTTGCTGTCGCGCGCATAAACGGCTCCATAGCTTCCCGTGTAGTTTGAAATCGCGCGATTCGTTGTCGCCGGCGACACGGCGACAAAAATCGCGTGCATAAATGGGCTCCATGCTAAAGGGTTATTCAAAAGTCACGCACCACTGGTCATGAGGGGGGTGGGCATTTGAAATTTTTGACTTGCCCCCCGCCCCCGAAGGGATCAAAAACTGGAAAATACCTGAACAAGTTTCCCCCTCGATATGAGGAAAAACGTCTTCAACCGCAAATCGATTTCATAATTAGAACTAAATTTATGGCCAGTGGTGCGTGACTTTTGAATAACCCTGCATATCCTTTCTCTCGGCGCCCTCTTCGCCTCCTCCCAGGTGGAACCCAATCAAGCATCTGCTTTAGCGGCCTCTCTTCCATCATCTTGTTGGCTAAACGATACCAGAAAAGTTGTTTGGTTATGACGTCAAATATGCCATTTTCGACTTTTACGATCGAAGGCATAATATTTATCATTTCGGACAAATTCTTGCCGACCTTTTCCGAAAATCTATCTCCGTTCCTCTCAGCATACCTAACTAGTGTCTATTTCTTCATCTGTCAAACTTGTCATCCATATGTATCTTAAAATACGTTTGACCACAGTGTAGTGATATAAGTTTTCCCCTAGTCCTCTTTCGGAATTCAATGATTCCAGAGAAATCTATTCAATATCCTTACAGCCTTCCTTTCGAGGATGTTATTCTCCTTGATATCTTGATCTGTCCTTTCATTCTGGTTTAATCACTCACCTGCGGTTACTTTTACTCCGAGCTGTCTTTGATCTACTGCCCATCCTTTTAGTCTAACTCAATGCCTTGCTCCTCACCACCTCATTTTCTTCGTTTTGGGTAAACCGACTTTCAACCACCACTTTTGATACTCCTCCGCTTACTTACGCATCCAGAACTCAGCGTCATTTTGATCCTAATCAAAGAGCGTTATCTTTGTTTGTATAAAACTCCCAATGAATTTTGCCATGTGTCATCTTCTCTCTCGACTCGTGAAGTAAGGTAACAAGGTCCCTCTTAGGCTCATATATTAATGATAGAACTGCGCACGCTTAACCAGACACAATTTTTTTTGTCAGTTTTTTCAAAGAAAATGGGCACACCTTGAAATTTTTGAAGAATATTCTTCACATATATGGAAACCAAAATGGGGGTAAATACTAACAATATTTCTGAATATTTTTTAAAGAATAACCCTAGATAGGTATTTGAAAAATAAAATAATAATTGAGCCACAGCATCAGAAAGTGTCAACTGCTGGATAGTATTAAAACGGCCATTTTGACTACAGAACGAAAAGAGTTAAAAAACAAATCATCCTATATATTCATGAAAGTTGTCGCCAGTCATTAACTGCCTGACAATACGATGCCAAACAGAATGAAATAAAACGATTAGGTAAAATAAAACCATAGCTATACCACAAAAGTTAAAATGAAAAACGGGAGACATATCAATTAAAAGAAGAAGCTTTCGGCTGACCCCTTTTGTTGATGCACCATAACTTCCTCCTAGGTATTGGTCCTTATATTTTCCCCTTGTCCATAAAAAATGTTTGGCGAGAGAATAATTTGTGAATACATTCGCTACCTTCATACTGCCGTACTAAGGAAAAACGCTGTATGAACCTTCAGGCGTAGCCAAATTTGCCTTGATAAAACACGAATTTCCAGGTGGACTTATGAATATTTTCCTTCCAATTTTTCAAATAATTTTGCTCGAAATTTCACCTAAAGTCCCTGAAAATTTCAAGGAAAAATATTCATAAATTTCCTAAAAAATAAACATTTAACTGAATAAAATTTGGCAACTCTCGAATGTTCATACGGCGTTCTTCCCTAGCACGGCAGAATAGTTGAAGCCTGACTCTTATTTCTTTGCAATATTCTCGAAAGACGAACCCACAGACTTTCAGTTTACGTTGAATCGGAGCTCGGAACAGAGCCGAAATCTCAGCGCAATCTTCGTCACTTAGAGTCAACTTCTCGGAAATTGCGGAGTCGCCCTCCACTTGAGCTTTTTGCCCTTTCTGAAACATCTTCCCTGTTATCATACTTTATTTATGACAAATGCCCAACGTCACTCGCTTCGCCTGTTTTTTATCGCGGTCTGCTGAGGCGAAATCTCCCGGCCGAGGAATTTCAGGACGATTCCCGCGGTTTCGGAGTGCGCTGCGACAAATAATAAATGAGCGATGAAAGTGTTCAACTTTGTCCTGAATTCCCCTCTCCTTCTTCCTCCAGACCCCCAACATGTCGCGATCAAGGAAACGCGTGGACCGTAGCCTCGTTCCCCTGTGCTGTCAGGCTTGAAATCTCATTCTGATGCATACTCGCTTTTACACACGTAATAAACTCGCTTGATCAAACTTGAGTCTCTCGGCTTGATTTAAAACTGACAACTCCCGATAGCATATCGTCACCACCCGGCCAAAGTATCACAAGCGCCAGGTTACATTTAAAAATTTCCGCCACCATTTTATTTATACAGAGAAGTTGTTGGTTGAATCTGCTTGAAAATTTTACTGAATTTTATCGGCAGCACAAAGAAAATTCAGTGACATTTGCGAACAGCTTCGTTGAACAAAATCTCTGAAAAAATCAAATGGCGGCGGAAATTTTCAAATGTCGCATGGCGCTTGTGATACTTTGGCTGGAAGGTGGCGATATGCTGTTAACGCGCTTCACAAAGGCGTGTTTTGTTGGTTGAAAATTATGAAAATAAGATTCAGAGATGACAAAACGATAAGAAAATGTATCTTACAAGTACCACTTATTTTTTATTTTTTTATTTTTTTAATATTGAAATCTGGTAACAGTTCACTAATGACTACATCGCCACAGTATGATTGCAAACAGTAGTTTCCTCTAACGTGGCCTCACCACAAGACACCTGTGGAATATTGGATTCATTTTTACCACGTCGCTGATTACAGATGTGAGATAATGTTTTGAGTTCAGTTGATATTTCGTCTGTTTTTAAGCGCTCAGCCGATAGGCAGCGCTTTTTGATTTCGACTTGCCTCTGAGTACTAGTATACTAGTGCTACTGCGTTTAAATGGCACACCAGCTCATCGATGTGTAGGCTTTGGGGGGGGGGGTCCATTTTTAAAATAAATAAAGCTGTGAAAACTGTATTTTATGCTTTTAACGTAATGCGCAGGTAGTTTCGATCGTTTGTCTATAAGAAAATTTCTTAGCGGTAGAGTAATTCTTATCGGAATTGATCGTTGAACTCGAATGAAGCCTTAAAAAAACGCGCCTGATGAGCTCAACGGTGAGCTCATTTTCGGGAAACAAAAATACGCGTTTACGGTTTCCTTGGTAACCTTTGTTTGCTATGAGCTGATGTTTTATTTCCATTTCTCAGCCAAGTCGACGGAGTTTATACGTCCTCTCTTCATTAAATACATTTACTAACACCTGAGCGCTTTTCTAATACGACAGTCTTAGAACTTTACCGCTTGTTTTTCCTTGTTTAATTTTTGTGTTTCTCTCAAGTCAAAAATATTTGCAAGTTGAAAGTTAATTTGTATCCCTTGAATGAGATAGAACCATCGTCAGCTCCATCGACGCCTTGCCGTGGCCATAATTGGACTGCATTTTGCAATTTGGACCTATAAATTCTGGCTCATCTGAAAAAACACTTATGTGCATAGGGAAACTAATGGCACATACGTTGTTTTTAAACCGGGCCGGAATTTATAGGTCCAAATTGCAAAATGCAGTCTAATTGGCAAATCCAAGAAAAATCAACGCTATAAATACGTAATTTTTCATGTACGTCTGTCTTCTATTTTTTTTTTTCTTCGTTTTTTACAGAATGGGAAACGAGTAACTTAATGCGGCCGTTTCCGAGGGTCCGTCAAATCGGTGTCTAGGGACGGTGACCTTGGAACTACTCCAGCCCCAAGTCAGACCCGTGGCGTCTCCACAACCCCCAACCGCCCCCAATTCACCCCCATCCCTTCATCATGGAGAACGCGCGCCTCAACGGAGACCAGTCGGACAGCCCAGCGGAAAATGATGAGTGAGTACTGTTTTTTAAAGAATTTTCACCCTTGAATTTCCTCTCTTTTATCTACCTATAGGTTGATCTTTTCGGCCTTTTAATAATTTAGAGATTTTATCAAAGCAATTTGCTGACTTGTCCTGAACCTTACTAAACAGAAAGTAAAATCGAATTGAATATTTTAAAACCTTATTTTATTCACTAGAACCTATTTGTAGTCGGACCATCGCAACGGGGCAGAAAGTTACGGAGCCTCATAGTAGGCATATGAGGCCTTATATGTAACAATGGCGGATGTGAAAAATTACCTTTTCGAAACACGCTTAAAAAACTGTTTTGTTCACACAAAAATTTAATATGTTTGGCTCTGGCATAATGTACAGATCTCGAAGATCACATCTCAAGTATTTTCTCATAATTTCCTCGATGCCAAAACAGTTTTTTGAATGTGTTTCGAAAAGGTAATTTTTCACATCCGCTATTGTTACATATAAGTCCTCATACGGTGTTATAATGATAAAACAGAATTGAGTACTTGAAGAAGATATCGATTTTGTTCCTCGGTACTGATTTAAATCGGAAAGAATAGTAATAACTTGTATGATCCGATCTAAGAAATGATATTTACTTTTCCTTATATTTTACCAAAAGTATTTTCACTATCCAACAGAAATAGGGCCCTATATATCTAAGTGAAATGCCTTAGCTCTCTTGATGAGTGGAAGCGAGTATTGTAAAGGGAGTCCCAGCATGAGATCCGATCACAGCTGTAGTGGAAGACTGATGCAGTGACAGTTGAAAGTTGAAGCTGAAGGTACAGGAGACGGGAGTTCTGAGAAACAAAAGGCTTTCCAGTGTCTCCTTCGTGTTAATCCTTGTGACGTTACCGGAATTACCTCTGTTGCACCCAACTGACCATCGCTTCAAAAAATACTGCTCGCGTCTCCACTGTTGCCAAATTCGCAAGAACTGCATGATTTTCTCGCCGTGGATTTAAAATTCCTACGTAGCTCTTATTTTTTTCGTCGGAGTTCAGAGGTAAAATTTTCAGATAACGATCTTGATATGCCGATGGAAATCGTACACATGAAAAGGAATCGTTACTCAATAAAATGTGATGGCATATTGCAACCTCAAAAATAGAATCATTTCCCCCTAATGATGTGATTCTTGATCTATGATTGAACAGAGAGTATGGCTCAAACTTCAAATTACCTTAATCTGGCAGTTCAACGTCAAAAAACTTCCATCTGAGGCTGCCAATCAACGTCCAAAGGTTTGCGTTGTTCCTCTCCTCTTCGATTGAAGCCTCTAGTGGTACGATTTTAACATTAAAAATATACGAGTTTGACTGACACCGAGAAATCACAATGATAAAAGCGCGCACCGTGCTGTGCGCGCAATACGTGAAGTATTCCTACAGTCTTGTGTGCGCTAATATGCGTTTCGCGCCAACTGAACCACTGCAGTGCGTTTAGCGCAATGCGAGAAGTATTCGTGCAGTCTTGTAGGCGCTAATATTCGTTTGAAGCCGACTAGTGCGTTTAGCGCAATGCGAGAAGCATTCACGCAGTCTTGTAGGCGCTAATATTCGTTTGAAGCCTCCTGCACAGTTTGGCGCGATGCGTGAAGTATTTCTGAAGTCCTGCAGGCGCTAATATGCGTTTAACACTCGTCGCACGACTATGTTTGGCGCGATTATTCGTGTCGCAAATCGGTTATAGTTAGAAGGCGGATTTTTATAGACAGTAAATTGGACTGCATTTTGCAATTCGAAACTATAAATTCTGGCTCATCTGAAAAAACACTTGTGTGCATAGAGAAATTAATGTCACATACATTGTTTTTAAACCAGGCTAGAATTTATAGTTCCAAATTGCAAAATTCAGTCCAATTATGGTCCATGCTGCATCCTTTTATTGAAACTATAGTCATTCTGCATAATACAACAATAAACATGCTGTTCAATACAAAATTCTGCTTGAACTAATGATACATTTTTGAGACAAGTTGGCAAAATAGCTCGGTTGCTCGGTGGCCTGTCTTACAAATGATCTGTGTCTTGTTTTGTCGCTTGTCCACTTTGTGTCGCACCTGGGACCGGCGAGGTCGTTAGACGCTGCGTCAGGAGGGACCCTAGCTCAACTGAATCATGTTTTTTTTGCAGACATATCACTAACTGCAGGACCTAGATTTGTTGAAAATTGCGGATTAAATAAGAAAAAAAGAGAAAAATACTGTACACCTTTTTAACTCAACTAACTTTAACTTAACTCAACTAACTTTAACTTAACTAACTAACTTTATGTCTCCTCTAGCCTTGTATACCCATTTTTTTGTATTTTAGTGTGTTTTTATTGTCATCTTTTTAACTTAACCCTGACGCTCGACTTGCTGTATCGTCTGTTTTACAACAAGAGTTGTAAAAACGTCCTATTCGACAGAACTCGATTCTTCGTTTATCATTTTTTTTTTCTTTTTGCTTTTTTTTAAAAAAGTAATTAATAAATAAATATCACGCCTGCGCGCGTGCTAATGAATATGTCCAGCAATGAAAGAAAAAAACCCGAGGCTTTGGAAAAAATTTGAATCGTCTAGTTCAGTTGGCGGGGATACATGCCTCGCCTCCAGCTACTTTAGTTCCAACTTTGCACGGTCAGTTCGTTAGTAGTTTCTTGATATTTTCTTCAGCAAGTTACAGGAAGGGCCGATCGATAGATTTATGAGCTCTTTCGAATGGAAAAAACTAATCATCTTAGGTTTTAAAGTAGGCAGGAAATAACATTAAGCGAATGACTATGAATGGAAGCTTGAGCCCTCTGCTTTTTCATAAACGTTCGAAAATCGAGGATTCTTGATAAATACATTTAACATTTTTAAAGTGCGACCTTTTGAAAATAGGTATTTGAATTTCATATAATCTGTTTGATCTCTCTAATCATGTGTATTACGTACTGTGACAAGAGAACGAAGCATGGTACTTCGAGGGTGACAGCCCATAAGCGCAAATTTCCGAAATCGACAGCCCAAATGCGCAAATGCGACAGCCCAAATGCGGAAATATTCATAGCCCATAAGCGCAAATGAAATAATCGACCAGAATTTCGATATACCGAATGGAGTGTAATTAAAGGGAGGAATAAAAGCAGAAGCGTGAAAATGGCGCATCGTTATTTACCTTTTTTCCTTGGTAGTTGAGTCCAGAAGAATGCGAATCAGTGAAAAATCGATGATTGATAAGGTTCGGTTGACAAAAAGTTTCCAGGCTCTGCTTTTGATTTGTGCATGCGAAAAGCGAAACCTGGGAACTCTTTCCCCCCTGCCTTATTTACATTATTTTTCTAAATCGGTTTAAGTTTGTTGAGGTGATTTGAAATGATGATGAAATATTTCTGCCCCATTCGTGGTTCTTGGAGAGAGGGCATTGGGAATCTCAGCCCACATTTCTGGTTGGGANGGGGGGGGGGGGGTGCAGCTGATTTTTCGTGGCGCGCAGTTGCCACACATTCAACTCGAGCTTTCCTTCGATTATATCGATGTATCGATCAGGCCGATGCCCCTCGAATTGACAGCCCACAAGCGCAAATAGTCCCATTTGCGCTTTTGGGCTGTCGACTTGGAGGATTTGCGCTTATGGGCTTGAACGACTTCGAGTTTCAGATTGTAATTAAAATTAATGTTAAAGCACTCATTAAACATCGGATCAAAATACCATTATGAATAAATGTAATCGTTTCAACACTGGCTCAACATTGATACAATATTGAGCCTTTAACAGCGAGTTTTCCCGAAGTGTTAACCCAACGTGATGTAAATATGTTCGCCTTAAATGGGGTGTGATAAATCGTTGTTTTCCGCACAAAGGAACGTAACTCCGTTTTGGGGTTGCGAAATTGGCTCATAAAATTCAATTTTTTACAAAAATGTACCTCACCAATTTTAGTCCAAAATTTTTTCGATTTTTGCTGGAGATCGGAAGAAAAATCGCGGAAATTTTCGGGAAGAAGTACTCAAGATTTTCCTGGTATAAATGCAATCAGCGAGGGGAAATTTGGCAACATTGATGTATAGTTACGTCCTTTCGTTAGGGGAACGACGAATTGTTCGCAGGAGTTGAGTCGGTGAGCACGCTTCGCAGCTCGGAGACATTGACAGGGATCAGGGATAATGAATTCACGCAGGGGCTTGCAAAATACACCGTGCTTTTCGGCGCGTCAAATATTTGCCCCTGAAAGAGATTCATTTGCCGCACTTTGTTCGCCCTGCGCCCCCCCCCCCCCCCCCCCCCCCCCCCCCCCCCCCCCCCCCCCCCNCAATTTCGGAGACGGTGGCCCGGCTCAGTCGGCAGTGTTTTATTTCGACAGTTAATTTCGATAAATCGATTGATCTGCCGTTTAAACCCATGGGAAAGGATCGATTAGTAGGGTGTTTGCTATGAACACCTCAATAATCGATTCTTTAACATAACTTTAAATGGGGAACTATCGATTTTCGATCATTCACGCCTCGCCACCGGTTAATTTGATCCCCATTGAACTCGCCTCGCGTCTCAAGCGATTCCCCGAATTCCGTGGCGAGGGATCAAATTTCAATATTTTCTGCATGCTATAGACGGGGGTTTTATATCGATATTTACCTGGACTAGCCGTTGTCAATTTATTAGTTCTTCCCATCATCTAAATAAAATGTCTTCGGAGAATTCAAGCAGTAAACAAATGGAGATGAAAATTCAACCCCGTCTAGTTACTGTAGTAGTAGGTCTAGTAGTCTAGTCACTGTCTAGTAACTATGCTAGAGGCAATTGTCAGGATGACGTTATTACATTGAGGAATTTGCAGGTGTGTGAACTTTTTCCGTGTATTAGTGGAAAATACTGAGTGAAGTGGACACGAGGATTCCCTTTGTTCATAAATTGAGCAATCATTGGAGGAGATATGACGGAATTATCTGCTTCGCCGTTTCCCGGACGAGGACCTGTAACTTCACTCCGAGGTTGAAATTGACTCAAACAATTCAAT